TCCACACTGGCTATTAATATATTGAAATAGGCCCGTGGTGATAGGTTAATAGTGGCTGCTCTGATCTCCCAAAGCTTCTCCCCACTCCTGCACCCTGGCCCTTCCTCCAGGTCTCTCCCTATCGCTCTGCCATCCAACAGCCAAATGGCTAAGGCCAGGTGCAGCTGAGGCTTCCGGCAGTAAAGCCCTTCTTCACTCTGATTGGCTAGTGCCTACGCCATATTGGTTGTTAAATATCTTGACAGTTATCCTACTATACAGAATAAAGCCCAGAGAGGTCACTCAGAGGCTGAGAGCACTGCTGTCAAGCCCAGCAATCTTCCCAACCCCCACACTGGCCACTCTCCTTGACAGTCACCTTCACGAGGCATGAGCAGTGTGCCCTTCAGCTTTTCAGCTCCTCTGGCCTTCGTTTGGCAGATTTGTAAGTCATTCGTTTCAACAAGATGAGCAGGAATCCATCCTTCTCCTCTCACTGCCTCTGTCCACAAAGGACAGCCCCACAGCATTCGGCCTCCCTCCCCCGAAAGAGAGCAGCTGTGGCAGACAGAATAGCGAAATCCTACCAAGTCTCTCCAGCTGAGGGCAAGTGCTTAGCAAGCTGGGCTGCCCCGGGACCAGCAGCTGCTGCCATTGATGCTTCTCTTGTTTACATCTTGCGAGTAAAGACCCCAGTTCTCCCTCTGGCTAAGAGAAGGGAGTGATAGACTTCCAGCAATCTCTCAGGTGACCATGAAATATAGTCACTTAGGGAATGTGTGCGTCAGGCAGGATCAAACCAGAGGAGTTAATTCCAAAGACCCTTGCAGCAGGTTGGTGTCATTGAGAATAAATCTCGCAAGGGCATTTTGCTTGGAATAGAGCAATGTTAAATGATCAAGCCATCTGTTTGCCAGGCCATAGCATTGTGTCCTAGGCCAGAGCAGAAATGAAATGTCCAGGAAGCTCTCTTGCTTACTGACCTACACTTTAACATAGAATGCAGCAGAAGTGGGATCAATGACAGGGTTGGGGGGCATGGAACAGCATTACAGATTCACCCGTTTGTCCATTCGTTCATTCCATAACAGTTACCCATCGCCCACACTGGACCAGGCTCTGGGAGAAGCGATGGGGATTCAGTGGTTAATAGGATAGGTAAAATATGTACAGCCCTCACAGAATGTTGTTTCTTACAAATTTTTTCTGGATTTGGGGATTCTTCTCTGCTTTTCTCCCTTTTTAAATTGTATATGTATTTTTTTATAAAACAAATAACCATATACCTACCACCTAGCTTTTTTAAAAAAATATTATCAATACCATTGAAGCCTGCTGTGTGCTTCTCCTAATCTCATCCTTTCTTCCCGTCCTCCCCCTTCCCTCCTAACCACTATTCTGCTTATCATTCCCTCCTAACCACTATTCTGAACTCCATGCTTATCATTCCTTTGTAAATTTCCCATACATGTACCATATGGGATCTTCAGTACAGCTCACGGAGGTCCTCAGTAAACACTAGTCACAGCAAATATTGCAACCTGAGGCCCTAGATACCCTGCCTGAATATTGGAACTCCC